GATTGAGGGTACTTGTCGTTATTTTTCAGTGATCTTAATCAGTCGGTGCATAACAAGTTACGGTGTGATGTTCTGTTCTAAGCTGGAATCAGCCTGTTCTTCACTGCATGGTGTGTCAGTTTCCTCGGCTTCCGGACGCATTATCTTGTTGGCCGTCAGAAAGTGCATATTATCGGGTATGAATTCGAATACTGGACAGTTTTAAGCTGTCATGATAGATTAATTTTGAAAAAGATGGTTTCCACTTTTTGCGACTCTTAAAAATAAAATTGGAAAGACCTGGCAAAGCAAGGTAAAGTCGAAGAACGAATGGAAGCGCGTTGTGGCCAGTAGCGTTAAAAACATGGATTAGCCTGGCCAATTCAGGTAAGAAACGGTTCAGCGCCTCTAGCCATGAACACTGCTGGCATTTTCTTTGCTGTCGCACAGGCAGTGGATTAGTCAAACCGTCGTTCTTCACGACTGTGATGACCGTTTATGCAGTTCTGCGGCTTCCATTCGTATTTGGTTCATTCGTTAGCAGATATTTCCCTGTTGATTCACTTTCATTGGAGTAGTATATTTGCAGAAATTTTGGCGGTGAGATGCACGCAGACGTATGGATTTAACTTCTGTAATCGCTCAAAATTGGCTAGCAATAGCAGACTGAATCTTCATTTTACTCCATACATTCCAGGTAATGTATCAAAAATCGATTCCTTGCAGCATTTCCTCTTGCTTTATGGATACATCAGAGGTGCCCACTGGATGACAGTGATAATGTGTGATGATCACCACCATACATGTTCACAAACAAAGTCTAGAAGGCTTAAAATTACCGTTAACAACCGTGAAATACTGAAATGTTTCTCATATTTGCAACATGCGCTGGATTTAATTCATATGTCGCGCACATGTTCTCGTCCGTAACGCTATGACCTAGAAATATGACCGATAGCGAGCAGTGCTTATCATAGCAGAACTTCTCTCTCATTGTTAAGTTGCTAGTTTTCAGTAATTTTGGATAGTTCCCTATTCATTGTTAATGAATACTTCCCAGATATATTCTAATGTTCAGGTCCATTAATTTCTATTTCTGAATAACTCTTCCATATAATGTATCTAGTTCTAATTTCATTGTTAAGTTCCAACATTGTCGGACTCGTAGATGTCGACAAATCGTCTCCATACGTAACTAATTACTTGTACTTGTGGGTAGAATTCGTAAAATCATTTTTAAAGATTGTTGAATATTTTATGACACCATGAAGTATCTTGTTAGGTATTCTGAAGGGCACGTTAGATAATAATTATGAAGACAGTATCAATAATCAATTATCAGGATGGTGTCAATATTCAGTTTTCGGGTTGTTGCAGATGTGGAGGAATTGAATTGTTATATTTACCACGGATTCTCCGAATGCATCACCATGATGAATTTATGCATGAAAGATAAGTCGAATGAAGGACGACCATTAGCAGTTAGCGAATGGGAATGCGCAAAGAGTCGTATGTTGTTTTGCTGAGTTATAGTACTCATAACTCTTCTCTGAAGCTCATGGTGTTGTTGTCACAAAAAGGCCTGCAAGATTGAAAATGCCATCATCCCATTAATACGGATGCACACCCAGATTTTGCATGAATTTTATAGCTGCGATCACTTCTGATGATTCTGTGAGCTGGATCATATGCTCCTGAACGTCAGACGTGATCGAATCCTCTTCACCATGTCAGTACCAATTCACCGCTGTGGATAATAGGAGTGGAAAGTTTCGGGTCCTTCAGCGATATCAATTTTGAATCTTTTTTCTGTGGTAGTCGATACTACTACCACTGAACCGTTAGTATAACCTGTTAAAATAATCTGTATTCTTATCAGTTCAAACAGCTGCTTCACCAAATCCTTTTGCTTGACTACAGAAGTAAAGTGAATCATTCCATGATGTCTCAACATTGTCTGTAAATTGCGTGCAGAAAACGTTACAGCAGGCCACATGTGGCTTCGTTGCCCTGCGCCAACTTTTTTTTTTCATTACAGTATTATCGAATGATAATGCCACGCGTCATATGAGATAATAAGTGTATTCAGAGATCATCATCGCAAATTGTAAGACGCTATATGGGCCACAGTGTGAAATATTACAAGAAGAGTGTGCTGTTGCAACTGGATCAGCCAGGGTGAAGATTGGAAACGGAGGAGTGTATCAGATGCCCATACCACTCAGGAATTGCATCGCGGAAGGTCAGTTCCATGAGGATCCTTCAAGCTTGCATTGGTGGGATTATTTTAAAAGCTGAATCACTCAAACTAGGAAGTAAGTGCAATGCAGACAGTCGTGTCGATAAGGAGGAATTAGTAGCTTATTGTGTGCGATATAAATCGACCACATTTTCATCCCATTCTAATGGAAAGTATCCATTAAGTGATCTCTAAATTCACTTCCAATTCAGGAGGAGCTATGGCAATGTGTAAGGTGCATCACGACCACACGAAATGTAACACATGGAAGGTACAATGCTATACAGCTTTGGGCTTACCAGTGACGTCAACGGTTATTGGTAAATATGAGAAACTGCCTACGCCAGTGGCGTTGTGTGTTTCAGCGCGTAAGTGCTTGTGCTTATAATAAGCCTTACCAGCCGAATGGATGACATTTTTAATCCAATTACGATTTCGAACAGTCATTTGTGGACGGTGAACTATTTCTGTCGAAAGCTCGGAGAACGTAGATATCCGTATGAGAATAGAATGACTTCGAAGTGCAAACATTGCCCAGATGAATGCATTACTCGCTTAAAGAGCCATCTTATCAAACAGATAATCAAGGGTTCACCACTGTTGTCTAGTTCCATCAACATAGTTCAGATGTCTTCTCCGTCTTCTGTTATACACACCAGCGACATTTCTTGTTAATCCCTCTAAATGTTGTGTGCGATTTGATGATGATGCTGATGCACACGTTTGAAATGATCGATTATTGGATGAATGAATGATTGTTTATTTGCAGAGGATTTAATGGCACGATGTAAGGCAGCGATAGGAACAAGTGTTTGCGATTTGCTGTTAGATGAATGCAGGGGAAGATTCGGCTCACCCAGCATAACGCTCTCATCAAATTCACTTTACTCTCTGTCCCCTCAGCTTATCAACTGCATTCAACACCGATACAAGAGGACTTCTCCGTTCATTCGTCAGTAGTCGTCGCCTGTTATCTGCTGTTGCAATATCTTAAGCAGTGATGATGAATCATCGTTGTGTTTTTATTGTCTCCATTTTAACTTATGAAATTATTCTTCATCCCATTGATGCATAATATTAATAACACTTTTCATCAACGTCGACTACTCGACAATGAAGCAATACGGATTTTGTCTAACAAATTTTGCTCACAAGCACTTTTCACATTGAAGAATCGTTTGCATTGGAAATAATGCATCAACACTTACATTAACTATATGAAATAAATACCATTGCATGCACGCTTTGTTTGTTCGCTACTTTAATCAGACCGCACAGGGCTCGCTTTCAACCTCGAACTATATAAAATGTTGCATATTTCATCAAGCCGTTGTATCATTCGATATTTAATCTCCGTTAGTATGGTAGATATGTTTTTATTGTGCTTTCATTGCATAAGTAACAGAATGAAGAATTAACGCCTGTTTCAGCATCACACAAAACCAGCACACTGACCAAACAACAAACAATCGAAATCGTCATCTTTTGAATCAATATAAATACCAGGATTTCATGTCGATCGTTCGTATGACTAGCTGCAATTGAAATATGAACAGTTCCGAATTTAAAATTATCACTATTCAGCAACCCAGCATTATTGAATCAAACACTGCTTGTTCGATGGAATTATCATCAATGAAGAAGCTCGTGCCAACCTCCGATTCGAAGACATTAAGCAATTGAAAATTAAACAAATCAGTTGAAGATGATAGCTGCAATCCCGCACAGTGCGAACTAATTTTGATAAATCATTTTTAAAAAGGTTCCCAAAAGTTATGCAAGTTGAGAGTTCACTATAAACTGAGATCAAGTCAATTACATGTGAATCAATTATAACTGAAAGAGTCAATGAGTGGACATAGGTCGATTGCAAAAAAGGAAGTGCCGACAACGAGAGATGTTTCAAACCGGTTAGATGTCGATTGATGCCTTGTTGGTACTTCAGTGAAGCGTTCTGTTGATTCGGCACTCGGTCGGTCTGCCTAGAGACACATTGCCTAACGGACAGTTTGCCTAACTCACGGTTTTTCAATGGATATTTCGCCTAATAGGCAAACTGTTTCTTAGGCAAACAGTCCGTTAGGCAAACTGTCCGTTAGGCAAATTCTCCGTTAGGCAGTGTGTCTCTAGACAGACTGTCGTTAGGCAAAATATCTTTGGGCAGATTGACCGGTCACGGCTGATTTAGCGAGTATGTGTTAATATTGATGACAGCAGTACTTACAACTGATTACAGCGGGAATGTTTATCCGTAGAGTGCTTAATATTTGAAATGGTGGTTCTGAAACCAAAGTGATGTTTGTTGAGCCGTTTTTGTCCAGCAATTCGTCGATATTTAAGGGTTGCAGCACGACAGGCACGTTGAGTGTCTTCTCGAAAAAGTGGCTCGCAATTTTTGATCCGAAATAGTCTGTGTGTTAAGAAGCATTTCGTCAGAAATACTTTAAACACGTGCTTGCTGTATCTTGGAATATCGATATGTCTTTACTGACCGGTCCAATCGTAATTTCCGAAATTTTAAAATGCTGGAGTCAGTTAACAGTGATTATGCACGCATTCAGTTCATCGATCAAATGTTTTGAATATTGTCACTGAGTGAGGTATTGATTTGCACAGAATCAACGTTTCGGTTTCTTTCTCGGTGCGTACTGAACGTTTTTCGGTGTTATTTTCAAAACGTAATGCAGTTACGTTTGCGGAATGCGATTAAGTACGACATAAACACGACAGTTCGTGTACTTTCAGTGATTCATAGTAATCATTGGCATGTGAGCAGATGAAGAAAAGGAAATANCCTCAAACAAGGGTTGTGACATTTTCTAATGCCATGCCATCAGTAACCAAGCTGTGTCAACTCACAAATTTACGCATTTCTGAAACTGAACTACAAACAGTTCATAAATTTCCCTTCATTTGTCCGTGTTTCGTTCCCGAATGAGAACGTCATCAATATTTTTCATTCATTTCTCCTACTTCCATCGTTAATCCAACGGATAATGAACCAGCTGACATTAAGACAAATAAATTTTGCAGTTCCAACTCAACGAAAACAATGGAATCGAAAAGGTTGGGCGCACATCTAGATGTTTATGATGATAAAATAACTGGAGATTTTGTTTTCTCGGAAAGTGACTAGTATTGTGACCACACATACACGCAATTGATGAACTCGAGGTGAATGAAGAGTGATCGACACTAGTGAAATATCTGAATCGATATTCGACTTTCCCTCAAGAAAAATTATCTGGAAACTCCAGTTCATAAAAATGGCGGTGTTCATTTGATTGTTTGATCGAAAATCGAAGTACGACAGAACATATTAATCCGATTTTCTGTAAGTGCATTCAATAACGCATTTCATCTGACAGTTAAAAATATTGGAATGCCATCAAACAATAAGTATGTATAGTATGGACATTTGTCACACAAATTAATCTGATTTTTAGTCCATAGAAATATGCATAAATTCATTGCATAACATAATTATTGAAACGAACAAACCGTTGAATATTACATCATCGTATCAGACTGCTCGATGTCCTTGCTATGTACTCATTCCAGTCGAGTTCTATCGTACAACCAAATTTGCGTTAGCTTCTCTAGCGTATTTTATTGACCATTTCAAATCATTTAAAATGTCATTGAAAGATTCAATGTATCACTCTTTTCCTTTCAATGTGTGTTAAAATTTCCCTAAATTTATGTCTGTCATATTTTTAATGATGTCCGTTTCTTATGAAAAATTTCACTTCGTTTTTCAAAACTTTGAACTTGTTTGCAACATCGTTGCAACACATTCTTTGATTCAGCAATTGGTTCGATGTACATCTATCACCAACTATTCTGGAACGTTCGCCTAAGTGCATTACTTTTTCATGTACACCATCACTGTTTAAGAGCAACCATAGTTAAAAGAGCGTGTTCATTCCCATCAATTTGATTGACAACTGAATAAAATTTAAAGTATTGTCCTCATTAGTTGCAGGTATCTACATGGTTATGCTACCTCCTCATGCCTTATTCCTAGTGCTCCTTATACCAACCGTCCTCGCGGAATGCGATCGTAAGTACATCTGATATAAATTTTCGTTTGAATGACAACTATGAAATTTGGCTGACCTTAAGGTAATAGACAATTTTCGAAGCAGAAACTGCACAATAAACAAGAAAATCTGAATATTCAAGTCAATATTGAATCATGTATTTTATACTTACACACTTACAAAGTTTTGTACATTTTAATACAGGGTTTTACGCTTCACGAGCTAAATTAACCAGTATCTATGCCATTCCGAAACCGTCCTCTCGATATTCATGCATTTTTGGCAGCATCGAAAAGTGAAAAATAATGTGAAAATTTTCTGGTCAGTTCCGAATGAATTGTTGTCTGAAAAGTCGGATACTCGAGTCTAATAGTGACAATTCATGAATTAATCACATTGAGAACAATTATATTTTTCACTTCATCCTCGATCGCTACCTGAAATAGCATTCCTGAACAGATTTCGCATCATCGTTCATGCGATTTGATGTACATGAATTTCGGTGATCAACACTATCGAAACCCATGGTTCATACTATAAAAACACTAATTTACTTTCTTGGATTTGATTGCAGACTGCAAAGATGACTACAGCTTCTGCGACAAGCTTTCAATGGAACAATGCAAACTGAGAGTCGCACAAGAACACTGTCCAAAAAAATGTCGATGCTGCAGTCGTAAGTTTATCCGCTTTCCTTCAACATTTTTGTCTGCATATTTGTATCAGTAGGCTCTCTCACGAACCAAGGTATTCAATGGACCAAGGAGAACAAACGGTGAAATATTATTGAAGGAATGAAGACGGCCACAAGAAAACGCGGAAGAAAATGTGTGTTTTCTTGTGAGAATGACAAGCTCAAATAGGTGTATTGACCTCTGATGAATCACTTTGACCTTTTCGCTGTTGCTGTTGGTGAAAAAATTGGAGTGTGATCTAAAGAATGACTTCCTGAAATTAAATTATGGCATCAAAACTGGCCTTCTAGACTGGGATGAGCATGGCCAAAAGTTGATATAATGCACTGATGGGCGAGAATCAGTTGATGCGCTGAATTTTTATTGTTTTTAATTCCATTTGGCTTGAATTGAGTATGTTGGCTTGAGTACGTTTCGCTGATGTGAAATTTCTTCAACTTGTTCACTTTTCAGTGTTTCCGCTCCCACCGGAGATGCCAAATCCAGGTTCGTTTCTAATTTGATTCGAACGAAACAGCACTGACTTGATTCAGACACATATCGCCATTCACTGATTGCGAGCAACCAAACACTAATCCCGTTCACAATAGAAAATAACTTTGAAAGTGCTAGTGCATTAAATTAACTGCTTTTTTGGTTTTTTTTGTTATCGACGAAAAATACTTCGGCAGGAATTATTCCATTATCGATCAGCCATTGTTCCTTAGTTCAGAAACGATTACATTGGTAAAAATCAAAAGTTTCGAAATTCAAACGAATAGTGGAAAGCAAGAAGTATCAGTTTGCTGATACTGAAATAGTTGACATTGGTGGTTATAGCATATTCATTGATGCGATTGATAAGGTTTTGTTTTACAGGGTGTAAGGATGAGTTCCGTAATTGCACTGAGTTATTCATGAATTGTGGAGAGGATGCCGAGTTCGAGAAAGGATGCCAGAAAACGTGTGAGAAGTGCCCTTTGCCGATTGCGAAGTCATGTAGGTCTAATTATTTCACGAACTGATCTCATTCTGTGTCTGTTGCATTCATCATAAGCATGATACGTGATATGCAGGTGTTCACTGATATCACCGGCAGACAAATTTGATTTAGTACACGCACAGTTCAGCAGCCAAAAGTTTTTTCCATGCGTTATGAGTTAGCGACCTTGGCAGTCAGTAAAAAGGATCATATAACTAGTAATTGGCTGAAGGGTGTCACGAAAGAAAAGGAATTGATCAACAATCTAAAGGAAAGAAAGATTAAGTGGGTGAGGAAGATGATATTAGCGGAGGGGAATATGAGGCCAAAGGAGAAACAGAATGACAAATGAGGACTTGGATGCAAGGATCCCAGTTGTGAGCTGTCCGCTCAAAAGTGGATGCGGGAGGTGATTTTCAGTGGTACTCGTCATACTGAAGGCGAAGATTTCATTTGTAATGAGCACGGACTGGCTAAATAAGTTAATCCAACAATGAGTGAGCGATGAAAGTTGCTTATGAGAAGTGCGTATTGTCGACAGTATGGACATTGCTATCGTTAAACGATGTTCTTGCATGCGTGTTGTTTACATTATGCAGCTCACGTTTTGGTCAAATCGCTTTGGTATAAACGTTTTCGAAACGGAGTGAACCATCAATTCAGCGTTAATTTAGGATGCCCTACAAAATGTGTGTGATTTAGAAAATGAAATTTTCGCTCTCAGCCAGTTTTAATTACAGTTCAATTATCGCTTTGTAATGACATATTCACGATATCATTCATGCTCGACAATTCTTCCTAATCGATTTTCATTTTTTCTGCAGCTCGCGGAGAATGCGAAGACACGAAATCGTTTTGCGTCACTCTCAAAGACTCACAATGTAAACTAGCAATATCTCAGCAAGTGTGTCCGAAGAGATGCGGAAACTGTAAAGGCCAAGGTGGATTAAGAAAATACTTGTTTTGTTTCAACAATTACTCACCAGGCGTCATACTTGTTGCAAATATATGAGATTTATAGTGTGTTCCTTGACGATAATCGCCGTTGAATAAACACATTCGTATGGTTNAAATTGGATTGATTGTCTGATATAAACTTTTATGTTGTAACTTATAACTAATAAGTTCAGTGAAGTGATTGCTCTATTTTTAGCGATTCATTATGATTTGATTTTTGTTTTCAGATGAACTAGCAATTCGAAGATCGTCTGTTGACGGTTCGCTTTCACCATTTCTTCCTTTTATTGATTATAATCTTTTCAACAGCATTTACTTTTGTGTCCGTTTTCGGTTCATCAGTTCCTCGCTGAAATTAACTTATGAAGAAACCTAGGAGTTCGTCAATTGCATGAAAATGTGAGAACATGAAATCTTCATGTACTGAAGAGATAATCGTATCAGTGTTATTAATATTAATTTTCGGTTCGAATATGAAGTTGCTTGAACTACTGATGACCGCATTCGTTTCATGTCCTTTTCAGGTTGCGGAAATTACAACGATGATTGTGCGAATGCATTCTACGTCTGTGGAGTCTCGAACGAGTACGAAATGTTATGTCCAAAAACATGCGAACTCTGCTACACGAAAGACATCCTGGATGGTAAGCAAATGATTAGTATCCAAAACACTGAACAGTGCTCGCACAGTTGATCAAACCTGTCACTGATCAATAACCAACGACAAAATAGATTTCGCAGGCGTGACATGAACCACCATTGAGTGTATTAGATTCAGACGTGGAGCTCAGCAATTATTTCGATATTTTTTGTAGTCGATATCTCAGAGTCTCTAATCATCATTACATCAAACACTAATCCTTGTATGTTGACTACCCTACCCTGAGGTATATGCTGGTACTGGCCAATTTCAGCTGGTACTTTTGCAGACTTGAATTCATTGCCGGTTGGACCTCCTCATCAGTTGGATGATACTTAATGAGATTCTGGGACTTTTTAGTTAACCGCGAGCTGGAGAAGTGTGAGATAATATATGGCAAATATTTTTGCAATCGACTTATCATAACATGCGCAAAATCGGTTGATCAAAACTTTGGTCGGGATTCATCTGAGCCAAAATCAATCCGCGTTGCGAAGTGCTTAGCGGCAGGTATGTTTTTATTTCAACACATGCGTTGCTTATCGATCGCACACTTCAATTCATCTGCTGTTTCGCATTTGAATTTCTCTGTGGTTTCATATTTTTGGTATTGAAAAATCCAACGTGGTTATAAGCCTTTAAGAGGAGCGATTTCCATCCCGTACATTTATATCCAGAAGATTGTATATTATGAGTTGTTAAACGAAACGTCAGAGATCGAAAAATTCGCTACATAGTTACTTTTCTCCCTGAGGATGGACATAATTCCACGTGGAACGNCTTATCAAGCATTGTTAAGATGAAGGGTTCCTTTCAGAGGACGTGTTTCTATTGTGCACTGCAAGGCATGATGCAGAATACTGCAATAAACTGTTGTCAGCGTGCTCGCAAGTAACAAATACACCAATCCCATACCCACTGCCTGGTCAACCCGGCCAACTCCCTGAAGCTATTGAAAAATGCGTATCTTCAGGTATTTCATTCGTTCCAAAAACATTCTCAAATTGTTCAATAAAAATATTCACTTAATGCAAAGCGAAAATGATCATTGGGTGTGCTAAAAATTATTAGCTCACATTTTTAGCACTTTATGTCCCTAAGATTTCAGTAAAATTGTCTCATTCACGAAAGGCTAGAGGGCATTACTGACATTTAAATGAGCGTTGCACATTTTTAAAGAGTAACGTATTTTAGAGTTCTCTATAGCGTTATGTTACGCTCGAAACAGTCCTGGTGTGTGTCAGTTATGGATGAAGCAGTGTGAAATCCCATCAACAAATGCACGATTGACACACGAACAACAGCAGTGCATGAAGAATAGTAAGTGAATAAAGTATTCGTCGAAACACTCAACCACATAGGTACTTCCTATGGGATAGATTAGTGAAAAGCTACTGATTGAAAAGCGGATAGAAAACCCAGATAACAATGTTGTCGATTTTCATTATGTTCATGTGAACATTCCGCGAGCGTTTCTGCTTGCCGGAGGAAAGTTTCAGCGTTTATTCTGTATTAACACTGTATTATATATCGAAACACGAAGCATTCATAAGATACAAACCCAAAAGGGAGGAGATCCACCAAATGAGATATACGAAAGTTAAGTTTCATCATCCGAATCGATAGTGCATGATATCCGTGTACATCTTATACATATTCAGCTAAGTACAGATTTAAAGGTTGATTTCACATATCACTTTGGTGTCCCTCACGAATCGTCTCTTTCGCGCTCCATCGCGACAGAAAGTTTTCGTTTGTGTTTTAGTACATGTGAGAGGACTGTGTGCAAAATGAATGGATGTTACTGTCCATTCATTTTGCACATAGTCCTCACACATGAGAGGACTATGTGCGAACTGCATGAGTTACCGTCCATTCAGAACTTGAAGGTGTTTGATGCCACCAGACGATTTCAGAGGATGTAGTCGTTGTCTGCAAGTCAAAACATAGCAAAATGTTCTGCGACAAACTTGGAGCAGCATGTTCGCAAGTGACCAACACACCAATACCAGAAGTAGGATATGGACCTGAATACATGCTACCAGAGGCTATCTCATTATGCATAGCTTCAGGTATTCACTTAAACGGAAATTCATCTTTTGAGGAGCTTGCATCACAAGATTATGTTCAAAATTAGTGTTGCTCATATCATGATCGCGATCACCGACTTAGAAATCATTGACATTTGTGAAGCGTAATTAGTTTGTAAAACGTCACGAAAATTTTTGTCNAAAGAAAACTGGAATCGTTGTCGCCATTCAGAATCTACTTAGATCATTGAATTTAGCTGTCGCAATTGAATGTGATGAATTTCAGAGTACTATATCGCAGTCTGTTACGTCGAGAACGGCATACAATTATGCCAGCTCTGGATGTCGTATTGCTATATATATTCCATCCCTACACACTTAACTCCTGAGCAAAAAAATTGCATGGAAGAAAGTGAGTGAAATCTCAAAATTATGAATGCCTTGCAGAAGGAAAATTTACTTACAAGAATCCTAGAAACGTGTAAGCTGTGAACAATGAGGCTTTTGAAAGCTTCAAGTAAATCGAGTCATCTGATCAACAAGCAACTGAATAGAAACCACTTATTCTGCAGCTGATTATGAGAAACACATTCTATTCAAAAATTTACCTATCACAGTAATTTTTTGCAAAAATTGACTGGAAGTGTAAGCCGAATTTTCATTTTAGAAAAATCCCTGAGACTTTGTTACTCTCGATTCGGTGCTCAGCAGTGCGACAGATGGAGCTTGCTCTGCAAAGGGGTGGACTCCAAAGGGAACATGGCATCGAGCAAAGCATATAAAAATTGCATTAATAGCCGTACGTTAGTAGAATAATTGTAAAATTTTTTATTCCCTGCTGCACATTGTCTGATTCGACGAATTTATCTAATTGAAAAATGTATTTTAAAAGAACTTCTTTGAAAACCTTTTTCGAGCGACTAAAGTGAAACGAAACGGGACTCCTTTCTATTTAGAGCAAAAAGAAATAGCGCGCTTTACAAGCGATATTTAATAAATACGAGAACTTATGTATCGCTCTTTAGAGGTAGTACTCCACAAATGTAAGGTTAAACGTGGCGAAATTTTTTGCTATAAACTGGAGGCAGCTTGCTGTGCAATTTTTGGTGTGGCTGTTCCATCCGAGACTGTTCATATACTACCACAGAAGGTGGTCAATTGCATCGGTTCAGGTGACCCTTCGAATTCATATAACGCACTTCGTATGCATAACTTCGTTTCATTATCAATCAGATATATTTTTGCTCTCAATGAAATTCATATTCTGTAAAATCGCGAGAACGTGTTCGGTACTATGAAAGAAAAAGATATATAGGCAACCCTCGAGGCGTACTCTTAAACTGACTGCATGACAGCCAATTGTTTCCCATGGAAGTTTTAATTACTGCAATTGCTAGAAGATGGCATTCATCAATAGATGAAACTTGCGCTCATTAGCGAATAGATTTGCAGAAGATGTAGTAGCAGTATGCAGGGCTGAATATGATACTGCATATTGTGACAAACTTATCAAAGCATGTGCTGAACTAACCGGCACATCGGAGCAATTGACCTCATCCGATTCCAGACATCGGTTGCCTCATGCTGTTGCCATTTGTGTTGCTTCAGGTANATAGTTTTTGGAATAACTTTACTTTTCTAGTTTCCTATCTTCGTTTGAAGAAACGCAAAGAATTGAACTTTTCAACGAAAAATTCAATGTGCACAAAACATTCGTAACTGAATTATACATAAAACGTCGTTCTATTTTAGGGAACTACATAGCATTTTGTTACGTTCGACATGGTGCACAAGTCTGTAAAGATTGGATGAAAGTATGCAAGATTCAGTTTTGGAATGGAGAAATAACCAGTGCGCAAAAGCAATGCGTCGAAAATCGTTAGTGATCCTGAAAGATCTAATTGTCGATTCGGCAAAGATGCGCCACTTCTACCACTTTATTTTCCCGTGGAAAATGATTGCTGAGACTCCCCATCTATGTTAAAGGAAATGCAAAATGGATCATGTTAACGGATTTCGTGCAGACCTCCTTTATTGCGAATGAATTCCATCTGATTTTCTTATGAACTCGCAAATTCCAGAGAACTCTATCGGACATTGCTATAAGGACCACGGCGTAGAAAAATGTAACAGGTGGACAGAAATGTGCAAAACATTGGGCTTGTCTACGGACCCAGATTCAAACGATGCATACATGATTTGCATTGATACTCGTAGGTTGATATTGGTCTGCGAATATACTTAGAATACAGTGTCTGATT